ACTGCTTGTAGAATTTTGTTCTTCTGTTGGGTTTCTAAAATCCTAACTATTATATGTCTATGTATAGATTTTTTTTTATCATGGCCAGTGGAGTCCTATATGCCTCACTTATCTTTATGTCAAGTTCTTTTCCCCTAGTTGGGAAGTTTTCTGCCATTACTTCTGTGAACATTTTTTTATGTTGTCTGCACTCTCTCTTGTTTCTCCACTGACTCCAATCAGTCTGTTGTTCTTCTTTGCATTGTCTAGCAGTTGCTGGATTGATTTATCGTGGTCCCTTACTATATTTAAGAAATTTTTCTTTTTCTGGTCACTAATTGCAATCCTGTCTTCTATATCTGAAATTCTATTTTTGCATTGGCTCATTCTGTTGCATAAACTTTCAGTGGAATTTTTAATTTCCTGCAAATATGTTTGCATCTGTTTTATGGATTCCATTGTTTTCCTATGTTGGGATTCTATCATGTTCCTCAGCTCCTCTTTTTTCATCTGTGTCTACTCTGGATTTATTAATCATGTCTTGTACTATGGACACAATCTCTGCTGTTATCTGAGAAATTATTTCTGATATCACTTTTTCCAGATCCTCTTTTGTTATAGTTCACGGAGTCTAGGTGGTTGAGTATCAGATTATTCCATCTCTTTCCCTTAGGTGATCTGTAAATCTGGTTTTGAGACTTATTTACATGTCTTCTCATTTCAACAGATCCAGCCTGCCGTGTCTTTGTTGAGGCAACTTTTTGTTCACCCAGTGGTCTTGAATTCTCAGCAAGCCACCGAACACCCTTTACTCTGCTGCTCACCAGTATACCAATTCCTAGGTTCAGAGTGGTGGCCTTCTGGATCCCTGAGCTGACCTGTTGTCCGGGCGGGCTTCTGGCTGGGCCTTGTGCACACTGGGGATGATATCTAGCTGTGCGTCTCGCAAGGGCCCCTATGTAGCTGTTGTCTGGGAAGGCCTTTGGTTGGGGGCTGTGCACCCCAGCTCCTGTTGACTGCACAGGCTTTGGCTAGGTTTGCCACATATATTTCAGTGGTATCGGGCAAGCCTCTGGGTATTGCTTGTGTGCCTGTACAGCTCTTCTCCAGGTGGGTTCTGTATCTTCTGTGGCTGATATAATGGCAGGCCTCTAGCCGAAGCCCTTGTGCCTGTTCAGCTCCTTTCTGGGTGGGTCCCCAGCCTGGGCGGGTGTGCAGGAGCATCTGAGTTTGGGGCAGACCACCGACTGGGATCCACCTGCAATCATGCCAGTCTGGGCCACACACCTGCTCCCCGGGATCCTCACACACCTAGGGCTGGAATGGCGGGCCTCCCAAGTTACTGTTTCTTGAGTCACATACTCAGTGAGATGCTTGGTTTGGGTTGCAGTGCTATGCTCTGTAAATAACGCTTCTATGAACAATGGAGTCCTACTGAATATATGAAGATACACACACCTGTAGAGGACCATAAAACTTAACTGATTAATTTTCCCCATTTTACTTTCTCCTAACTTATAAAAGGAGAATGAATGCAATAATGAGTGGAATTGCTTTCACTATTTTTTTGTTGGATGTCTTTTTACCTCTTTTAGGGCCCTATTTTAGTAAAAC